TTACGTCTGTTACGTACTCCATCTTGGTGAATGGACACCGATCTTCTCAACTGCGTCCGACGAGAGGGCTCCGGCAAGGAGATCCACTATCTCCGTACTTATTTTTGCTGGTGGCGGAAGGGCCGTCATGTTATACTGCTAAGGCAGTGCGCGAGAAACGGATCCATGGGTTGTCAGTCGCGCGTGGAGCTCTGGTGATCTCGCACTTATTTTTTGCTGATGTTTCTATTTTCTTTGCTAGGGCCACGGTTCAGGAGAGTAAGGAGCTGAAGAGAATCTTGGGGGACTATCAATTGGAGTCCGGCCAACTTGTGAGTTTTGAGAAATCGGAAGTCAGCTTTGGGGAGAATGTGAAGCCTCATCAGAAGCTGTTGGTCAGTTCCACGCTGGGGATGCAAACTGTTGATAAACATGACAAGTACCTGGGATTAGTGAAACAGGTGGGAAGATAAAAGAAATCTCTCTTTGCATACCTGAAGGAACGAGTGAGGAAAAAATTATCGGGATGGAAAGAAAGAACGATGTCAGCAGCGGCAAGGGAGGTATTAATTAAACCATTTGCGCAGGATCAATTAACGTATACGATGGGTGTTTTTAAAGTCCCGGACGGGATCATTGACGAAATTCATAGTATGATAATGCGGTTTTGGTGGGGGCAGCAAGGAGAGGAACGCAGAATCTCTTGGATTGCAAGGGCATCCTTAGTCAGACCAAAGTCAGAAGGGGGTATGGGCTTCCGTGATCTGCGAGGGTTCAACCTATCCCTCCTAGCACGACAGCTGTGGGGACTATTTCAAAGATCGGACTCGCTCATAGCGAGGATGCTGAAAGCAAAATACCATAAGAATGATAGTATTCTGGATGCAAGTGTTGGATATCGGCCTAGTTATGTATGGAGGAGTTTGATGGGGGCACAAGATTTTTTGGTGAGTGGACTAAGATGGAGGATCGGCAATGGAGCATCTGTGAAAATATGGGGGGATCGATGGGTGCCATCATCACCAGGGCACTTTGTGCAATCGCCGTCGATGGGTTTGCCGGTTGATGCGCCTGTTAGAGAATTGGTTGATGAGGAGTTAAATCAATGGGATGAGACGCTTCTTGAAAGTTGTTTCACAACAACGATGGCAATGGCCATTCGTCAAATCCCATTACGCGACCCCTCAATTCCGGACAGGCTGATTTGGGCGGATAGTAGAGACGGAAACTACTCAGCACGAGACGGGTACCGAAAGTGGTTGAAAGATGGTCGAGAAGATAACGGGGACCAGGGGACGAGTGACTCTTCCTTGTGGAAAGGTATTAGGTCTCTGAATATCCCTCCTAAAATCGTGTGTTTCTCTGGAGGTTTGCTAGAGAATCTTTGGCCACAGGGGATCGAGTGAGTAGACGTAATCCGCGAAGAGGGGATGAATGTCCGTTCTGCAATATGAAGGAATCGCAAGTCCACCTGTTCACCGAGTGTGCTTGGGCCTCAAGGCTATGGCGTAATTCCCAGGTGGTGCAGTGCTTTGATTTGCAAGGTGATGGAAATTGCAAGGAGTGGGTGGCGAAGGTAATAGCTTCTGTGCCCAAGGAGAAGACGGAAGATTGGAGTGTGCTTCTATGGTCATTATGGAAGGAGCGTAATGCTCACCTTTTCAATGGCAAGAAGATGGAAGAAAGTGACATAGTCCCACGAGCAATAGCTTACCTTGATGAATATCGACATTTCCAAGGCCACGACCAGCTGGTTCCTGCTGCAGGAGTTACAGAAACGTGGCAGAGGCCTCCGGGGGGTATGATCAAGGTTAATACAGATGCTGGTTTCAATGAAGAGAGTACAGGATTGGGAGTGGTCATTAGAGATAACGAGGGAAGATTTATTATGGCAGGTGCAAAGAAGTTGCGTGGGAAGTATGATCAACCGCTCGGCGAAGCACTAGCTTTGGAGTTTGGACTGCAGCTCGTCCGGCGACACCAGCTCGGAAATCCTATGGTGGAATCAAACTGCTTAACGGTAGTTAACGGGATCATGGAAGCTCGGGTGAACTATACGGAGCTGGGTACTATCATGTTGAATATCAGGAAGTTGCTTCAAGAAGAAGAGGCGGGCAGCGTCCAACATGTCAGAAGAAATGCGAATAAGGTAGCACATATAATGGCGCATATGGAAACTCGATGGGATGAGGCTGAGGTCTAGTTTGATAGACCGCCGATTAGTATTCTGGATCAGTTAATTCTAGATAATGGTTGTTTGATTTCTAATTAATAAAGCTGAGCGCAGATTTCCATAAAAAAAATGGCAGGTAATTAGGTCAATTTTATGTCAATTAGAAAGGGGCATGAGCTCAAAGTCCCACTAGATCAGAATTTAGCCCACCAAAACTCTAAAAAGAATGACCCAAAGCGAAACCCCACCGTATGAATTGGTAGGGGTAAGCCCTACAAAAAAGGGAATGGTCCACCTATTGACCCTGTCGAAATCGGAAAGCTCCATTAGTACGATATTTTCCACTTTGGTCAAATCCCGTACGGTTTTACTTTTGGATATCCTTCCCAAAAGGCCTCGTACTAATGAGCTTGGTGGACACATATATACGAGAGTCCCTTCCCTTGAAGTACCAATGTGGTACTTGGATTGTACCCATTAAAATCCCCCCCCCCCTCAAGAGAAGGGCCACAGACTTCGTGTACTCTCCTCAGCGGTTATCTTGATCCGCCAAACACCTAATATCGGTGAGCTATTCGATACAAGGACCCTCATCTTTGCACCCAAAAAAAGTGCTTAGTAAGTTGAAATTTTCAACTGCAATTTACATATTAGTTTTCAAGCGGGAGGTCTCAGATTTAAATCTCTCAAATAGCACCTTATAATGAGAACAAACCTATATCACTCTTGATCTATAAAAAAAATTACATATTAGTAGCGAAATATTGAGAATGTTTGTTTTATGTCAATGAATTTTGATATTGTAGAATTTGACAACACGGAAAAAACATCAATTTTATATGGTTTCCACATTTTTTTTACAAAAGATAATTATATATATTGATTGAAACAATAGATAATTACATCCCGGAATTTAACCATGCCAGAAAATCAAAGAAATGACACGTAGTCGGGTACAATAAAAGAGCCTTTCTAGCCATCAGGCGGCCTACCCTATTACTACTCCGACCTACAAATCGCATATGAACTCCAGTATGAACAGCCAAACATAGCAAAATTTCCTCCAGGATGCCCATGTCCGACTATCACTGGTATCTGCCATGTTTAATTTGTCATGATCACTTTGATCGCCTTCAAACCTTATATCTGCGAAACCGTTTCTTAGACATCACAAAATACCCTCCCAAAGAACCAGGAGCTTGAATACCATGATGTCATCAAATAGAGCAAATTACAGCCCTCTAGCCAAATGGATCACCCTTTCATGGTTCTTGATGATCATTCCCCCAAACGAATGTGATTCACTCTTGGTAGCCCCATCATACATGCAAATAACTGAACTAGAGCTTGCGCCACTCAATATGAACAAGATTAGTAAAATAATCTTCATTTCTGTTATTGATTTACTACATTCACACAAAACTAACGAGGCTACAAAAGAACTTATATATTACTATCAACCCTATACAACTTGTTACTTAGGGTTATATATAGCAGAATGTAAATTGTGTCCTAGTTAACATATTAGCTTGTTTGCAAATATAACTCATAATCACAATTATTCTGTAAAAGTAGAAATTGTTGGAAACCTGGAATTAGTATCGTTATTTTTTAGAAGCTGTCATTTTAAGTATTATTTGTTTTGAGAGTAATTCATGAATACTATGCAATGCGTTCGAGTGTTAGTTTCTACATAGTTCTTAAAGTTTTAGAATTTTTAACCAACAAGAATTTGATCTAGTGGTAACGCCACTAGTCTAGAATCTAGAGGTCTTAGATTCGAATATCTTAAGTAATACCTTAACAACAACAAAAAAAGTTAAACCCATATCACCCTTATCTAACAAACATTTCATATTTTTGTTGATTTTGATTTTATTGCAGTCTAAATCTCAATTTAACTGCATTGATGCCCCTTTATGTATTTAAATTATTCTTAAATTTGATTCATAGTTATACTTAACTATCTCGTATAAATTGTTTGGCCTTAAATAATGATGTATACTATTGAGACTTTGATTCTTTTCTTCACAAACATACAAAGGCACGTATAAAACGAAAGGGGAGGACATAAACCGATTACTCAATTAGAAGTATGTTAATGAATCATGAAAATGTTTATGGTTGATACCAAACCATGAAAAAAGCGATTGACAGTGTGGATCCTTCCCCGGCACCGGCTTTCTCACCAACGGGGCGTCCGCCGGACACGGGTCAGATTCAGAACGCAACTCCTGCTATCGCCGTGCCCGCAGCAACAAAAGAGGGTTCTCCCATGACTGCGATGGTAGTGGATTCATCCGCCGGTGACGCTGTTTTGGGGGCGACCTCAGCCGCAACAGAGACAATTGCTAATGCCGGTAATCAAATAACGCTCAGGGCTTCACTGCCTCCTCAGGCCTCGACGTCGCAGACACATCCCTTTTCCTACGCTAATGCGCTCACGGGTGGACAACTCACCCAGACGTCACAACCTTTGGCGATTCAATGGACTCCGGTCGGCGAACATGATTTGGTCCCCGGCGAGCGTAACGGCGAACCGGCCTTGAGCATTTCGACGGAGTTCAAGAACACGTTATGCGCCCCTTGGCACCGCACTCTGGTGGTTCGTCTGCTAGGTATCAAAATTGGGTTTCACACCCTGTGCTCCCGCCTCAGAGCCTTATGGCGACCAACAGGAGCAATGGAAATCAGGGATCTCGATGAAGCTTGTTACCTAGTGAAACTTAGCAACGACCAGGACTACTTTAAAGCTCTTACAGATGGTCCCTGGATGATTTTTGATCATTACATCGCAGTTCAGCAGTGGACGCCTCGTTTCAAAGTGTTGGATCCTCTCCCAAAGACGATGATAGTTTGGGTCCATCTGCCTGAGCTCAAAATCCATTTTTACCACAAGGAGGTTCTAACTAGCCTGGGAAACCTGATCGGACGCACGATCAAGCTAGATTACCACACCCTTACTCAACAAAGGGCTAAGTTTGCCCGTCTCGCTGTAGAAGTGGATATCTCGAAGCCCCTTGTCCCAAGAATTTGGCTAGACGATGATTGGCAGCCGGTTGAATATGAGAACCTACCCGTCGTTTGTTTCGAATGCGGAAAAATCGATCATGCCTCTACTGCTTGCCCCCTGCTCCGACCTGCGGCGGTCCCGGTTTTAGCCAAGTCCGCCGGCGGGGATAAGCAAGACCTCTCGCCGGAGGGAACGTCGAAGACCAATGCGGGTTTCGGGCCGTGGATGCTGGTCTCGCGTAAAGGACGGAGGAATCAGCGGGAGACGGTTAACAAAGGAAAGCAAAGAGATTCGGGGGCCACAATTCAGGCGATCTTCCCCAAAAATGGAAAGAATGGATTGAAAAGTAAAGAGCCAAGAGATTCCTTACCACTTCTGGACCAACAGAGCTCGCCTCCTCCCCAACGGTCTTCGGGTCAAGAAAGGAAAGGGAATGGAGAAAGTCAACATGGGATGGAGAAAAGGAACGGTAAAGGGATTGTGAGGGAGGAGGAGACACCAACAGGAAATGGATTCCTTGGACCAGGCCCATCGGTGGGTCTTGTAACTAAAAAAGGGCCCAAGCCCAAGTCGGATGCTCTGAAGGCATCCACATCATTTATTCATCCTGAATCCCCCGTGAGTCCAACTGGCGGGCCTAGCAGAGATAATACAGCTGGGCCGCAGGCCCAAGGTGCCAAACACCCCACCTCCTTCACCCCTCCCCTAACTTTGGTGACCACGGGCCCAAATGGGACAGTGATGGAAGTGGTGCAAGTCCCACCGCTTAATGGAGCGCCTCCCCATCGGGCAGACCAGGTCTCTCCATCGACGGCGAGCAGAATGAAGGAAAGGAAGAATTCCAAGGGGCGAATGAAGAAAGGGTCTCCTGCAAAGCTCCACCCTATCCGTTCGCTGCAGCTCTGGTCGCCGATGAAAGAGAAGAAGTCCAAACCAAGGACCCGGATGGCCTCGCTCACTCTTCAGGAGATCTCTGCCTGGACGGAGGCGGCTAATCTTCCTACAAGAACCCCGGCGGTGAAGGAGCCTGTAGACGCCTCGTTCCTGGAGATGAGCCACCGAGAACCTGCTGGAGAGCCATCTCTCCCAAAGGTCTAATTGGCGTTCCACCTCCGCTCTTCGATGCGCGGCCTCTTTTTGCGATTCTGCTCTCTCTCGCCCTTCTCCCTTTCTGTCTTGCTTTTATTTCCCATGTCTTTTAAACCCATAGTTAAAATTTTCTCTTGGAATGTGGGTGGTGCAGGTAGCAAAGCTTTTGCTAGAGCTTTGAAACTCAGCATCCGCCAACATCGGCCGGACTTCGTAATTCTTCTGGAACCCCAAATCAGCGGGAACTCGGCTGATTCTGTTTGTGACAAAATTGGTTTCCCTAACTCTATTAGAGTGGACGCTGATGGGCGCAAAGGCGGGATTTGGATCTGTTGGGATGGCGGGAGTTTCTCTACGGAACTTCTTTCGGCCTGCAATCAGCACATTTCCGTCCGTGTTCATCAGAATGGGTGTTGCTCCTGGGTGCTGACTGCGATCTATGCCTCTCCCCGTCAATCTTTACAATGATATCTCTGGGACAACCTTATCGAGCAGAGTGAGAAGCTTGATGAACCTTGGATTCTCACGGGAGACTTCAACGCCATTCGCTGCCCCGAGGAGAAAACAGGGCCATCTTCGGCGGCAACTGCTAGGAGGTGCCGGAAGTTCAACGAGAGGATCAACAGGGCCGAGCTCATTGATTTGGGATTTTTGGGTTCGAGATACACGTGGACTAGGGGAGACTCAACTCATTCCTACAAGGCTAGCAGGCTGGATCGAAGCTTATGTAATCTGCAGTGGAATGCGTTCTTCCCCAACACTACGGTGTCACACCTTCCCCGCCTTCAATCCGATCACCACCCCATTTTAACCACTATGGCTACCCAGGGGCCGTCTCCTTCCCATCCTCATTCCTTTAGATTTGAGGCTGCTTGGCTTACTCATAGTGACTTCCAAAATTTTGTTGCAGGTGCTTGGGATCAAGAAGGGCAGCTACCTCAGGCTCTTGGCTCTTTGGCAGAGAAACTCAGGGAGTGGTCTGTGAATGTTTTTGGTAACATCCAGCAAAAGAAAAAACGTCTGTTGGCCAGACTGCAAGGGGTTGAAGTCCGACTTTCCAGTTCCTTCACACCAGCTTTGGCCAAGCTCCATGCTAAGTTGGAGGCGGAGCTTGATAAAGTGCTCGAGCAAGAAGAGCTCTTCTTGTTTCAGTGGTCAAGGGAGCAGTGGGTGAAATTTGAGGAGAGGAACACAGCCTACTTCCATCAGCAGGTTAATAGGCGGAGAAGGCGCAACAAAATATTGACACTCCGTGATGCAAATGGCAATTGGGTTGAGGAGCCGCAGGAGCTTGCTGCCCTTGTTTTCGACTCTCTGGCCCAGCTGTACCTGCAGGATGATTCCGGCTATGAGGACAGACTGCCCAAAAACGTTTTTCCCAGGATTGAGCATGCAGAGTTGATGATGCTCCTGCGACCCTTTACCATCACCGATATCCACAGGGCCATTTTTGATATGAAACCGTACCAAGCTCCCGGACCGGATGGCTTCCAGGCGGTCTTTTATCAACAAATGTGGCGGGTGGTAGGTAAGGCACTAACGGATTTGGCTCTTAACTTCTTCTCTGCAGGTACCCTCCCAGAAGCCGTTTCGGAATCGACAGTGGTCCTCATCCCAAAGGTGGATAATTCGGAGTTCGTCTCTCAGCTTCGACCTATATCTCTCAACAATGTCAGTCTGAAGGCCATCACGAAGGCAATGACTAGTAGGCTGAAGCCGATCATGAGGAAGCTGGTTTCACCAAGGCAAAGCAGTTTTATCCCAGGGAGACAGACTACAGACAATATCATCGTGGTGCAGGAAGCCATCCATACTCTAGAAAAGAGGAAAGGGAAGAAGGGAGGGATCATCCTCAAGATTGATCTAGAGAAGGCTTATGATATGTTGAGATGGGACTTTCTTCGTGACACTCTCAAAGAAGTGGGGCTGCCTAGTTCGTGGATTAACTGTATCATGAATTGTGTGGAGCAGAATAGGATGAGAATTCTCTGGAATGGGGAGCTTTCACAACCGCTGCTTCCAACCCGGGGAGTTCGCCAGGGAGACCCCCTCTCTCCCTACCTCTTTGTTTTATGCATGGAGGGTCTTTCCCACTTGATTGATGAGGCAGTGAATAATAAGAGCTGGAAACCCATTCATCTGACTAGGGGAGGTCCACCTCTTACTCACCTCTTTTTTGCAGATGATCTTTTGTTGTTTGCAGAAGCAGAGACGAGACAAATCAGGATTATCCGGAAATGTTTAGATGACTTCTGCTTCAGCTCTGGCCAAAGAGTGAACTACAGCAAGTCCCTGCTATACGTGTCGCCCAATATAGACCGCCAGAAGGCAGCACATTTTAGCAGGCGAGCAGGAATTCCTCTGAAGACGGAGCTGGGGAAGTATTTGGGGCTCCACACTATCCATGGGAGGGTGTCCCAAAGCCGCTACCAGAGTCTACTCCTTCGACTTCAGAAGAAGCTGACACCTTGGAAAGCGAAAAGGCTCTCTTTTGCTGCTCGTCTCACTGTTGTTAGATCTGTCTCCTCGTCTATTCCCACTTACTGCATGAACACTGAGCTAATCCCTTGTGCGGTTTGTAAGAGTATTGACAGGATAAACAGGGACTTTGTTTGGGGAGATGAAGAGGACAAGTCAAAGATGCACTTGGTGGCCTGGGAAAAGATGATCCAGCCTAAAGATCAGGGAGGGGCAGGCTTAAGATCTCTAAAGCATGCCAATCTTGCTATGCTAGCTAAGAGTGGGTGGCGACTGCTTAAGGAGAAAGATAGCCTCTGGACTCAACTCATGGTGGCGAAGTATGGTCGGCAGCGGGATAATCTCGAGATCATTCAACCAATTCAGGGAAGTTCCTTTACCTGGAGAAGCTTGTCCAAAGCTTCTAACCTTCTTCGGATGGGTTGTGCCTGGAATATTAAGAATGGTAAACGCACTAAGTTTTGGATGGATACTTGGATTTTGCAGGTTCCTCTTAGGGACGTTGCCATCGGCCCCGTCCCGGAGTCGCTAAGAGACGAGCCGATTGCTTCCTTTGTGGAGGATAACGGAGCCTGGCGGACGGATTTGTTCAAGGATCTCCTTCCGAGCGATATTTTTCAGAGGATTCTCAGCATAGGGGTTGACAAGATGACGTCGGAAGAGGACACCATTTTTTGGTCTGCTTCGTCGGATGGGAAGTTTTCGGCTAAGTCGGCATACTCCCTCCTTAACCAGCGTCCGGCAGACCCAGACGAGAAGCTGTGGAAGATCATTTGGAGCCTTCCGGTGCCGGAAAGAATCAGGAGCTTCATGTGGATGACGGTTTTGGGGAAATTGGCAACTAGGGAACTTCTCTTCTCCAGGAAGGTGACTAACAACCAGTGTTGTCTGCGTTGCGATGACCAGGTCGAGTCCATTCTTCACATTCTCCGGGACTGCCCCCCTGCTAGGTATGTTTGGCTGCTGCACATCCCGAAGACCCTACAGCAGCGTTTTTTCAGTATGGACCAGAGCAGCTGGTTGCGAGATAATCTTAAGAGCAGTGAATTTTTGGACTCAGGCATGAGTTGGGCGGCCTTCTTCAGTGTCTCCTCCTGGCTGATTTGGAAGAACAGATGCACTTCATGCTTTAGAGGTTTGAGCTCAGCTCTCTCCCCTCCCTCCCTTGAGTTTTCGATTATGGCTAAATGCAAGCTTTGGTATGAGGCTTGGCAAGCTCCTTCCCCCCTCCCCAATCTCAGAGGTTAGAGGGTGGCTCGGACTATGGCCATGATTGGTTGGACCCCTCCGGCTAATGGTTGGCTAGCTCTCAATGTTGACGGGGCCTCCAACGGGAATCCCGGTACGGCAGGAGCGGGAGGAGTCATCCGCGATTGGACTGGCAAGTGGATCTCTGGTTTCACTGCGAACATTGGGTCAGCGACCGCCGCTCTGGATGAGCTGTGGGCCATCTTCCATGGTCTTGATTTGGCATGGAGAGTGGGATGTCGTGCCGTCCGTCTTGAGTCTGATTCCTAGCTGGCAATCCAGCTCATCAACAACCGACAAGATCCTGTTCACCCTTATGCGACTTTGCTTTCTGCGATCCGAAGAAAGATTAGCCAAGATTGGCTGGTGAGCATTTCTCATATATACCGTGAAGGGAATAGAGTCGCAGACTGGCTCTCGAAGCACAGTCTCGTCTATCCCTACGGTATGTATGAATTTGCAAACCCGCCTCCTGGGCTAGTCTCCATCATTAGAGAAGACGTCATGGGCATTTCTTTCGAGCGTCGGGTTGTGACGCCTTCTCACTCTCTTTCTTAGCTCTCCCCTTGTACCTCCTGTTCTAGGCTTTTGCCTCCCTTTTTGCAAAAAAAAAAAAAATTAGAAGTATGTTAATTGTTAAAGAACACAAAACTAGCACATAAAGATCTTCATATCTTATCTTATCTTACTATATATTATGGTTGTTGAAAAGTTATTTATTGTCACATAAGCATTTGGAGAACTCACAAGTTGGCAAGGTGAACAATTTTTTTGGAAACTAAAAATTGAGTTAATGATCAATTTATGGAGCTATCTCTCTCTTAATATTTTTTCTTTTATTCAATAATTTCTTTTTGCTTTTGCATTATATCTATGTATGCAATAATATACTAATGTTTGTAAAGTGAAATCTATCACATTTTTTTTAAACCGAAAACATATTATTACCTCAATAAGACAATTTTCTACTCATTTATGCTAAAACTTAATAATAAGTTACATGATTTTCATGAAAAATTAGAAAAAACACACACATAAATAATAATATTTTATTTGATCAAACAAATATAATGATGTAAATAGAGAAAACAGTTGTTTGACGATCAATCGACTTTCAAAAATGAACTATAATATTTATATTTTCAACTATCAAACATTCTCTCATCTTTAATATATACGTCTATCAAATAAAGCAAGTATTATATAACAAAAGATCTTGATAGAAACTTGACGATGTAGACGTATTCTATGACACATGTTAATGTTAGAGAAGTATTTGTAGAAGACACGTATCATCAACCACTGGCCAGACTAGGCATTGATCAAACAAAGTCTGACAGTTTTCGTTTAATAGTTGAATGTATTGGTAGAAAAATATAAATTTGAGGATTAATACAATAACTAAGCATCTGTTTATTGGTTGAGATATCAACACCAAAAGCATTTATAGTTACAAAATTCTAAACCGAGTTATTGGGTTAAAAATGAAGAATCTTTAATAAGAATGAGTTCAACAAGGCAATTATAAGAAGTCATTTCGTAGTACGGTTGTGAGACTGTGACTCTATATCAAATTTTGGCAATAACAAAATTCTTCCGATATTAAAGTGTCCAAACAGAAATATTTTACTTTGTAACAGTATGCAATTTGTATTTAGATCGAGTTATCCTAGCCACAATTTTTTTCCTTCCATATTCCATTGAACGAGCAAAGTTCGAAAGTATTAATTAGGATTAAAAGGTAAATAAAACTCTTTATATATTCTTAGATATTAACAATAGATGTGTCTACAATACATCCATGAATCCATATGTAAGCGAAATGTCATAATGGTTGTATGAATTTTGAAAAAAAAATTAATAAAATAATCTTATAAAAAATTATAAATTAATTATTCAAACGATACACCATATAAATGCAGCTAAAATTCGTGTACGTTGTAGACATGCTTTATTAGTTATTAAGATAAGTAATAAAAATGTTGTTCCAGAAATGGTTCATGATACCATATCGTACCGGCGGTTCAACCACAAAATACCATTATCGGAGGTTAAACCGGTAGGCGATATTTCACGGTACTAACGGTTAAACTTTGGTTAAACTACGATTTTGCCATTAATACCCTACCACTGACTTTTTCGGTACGATGTCCAGTAGAGTTTCATGAACCAAACACCAAAGATAAAGAAAATTTTACAAATGCACATTAAAAAAGTTAGAAAATTATACACTAAATGACCATGTCAAGACAAGAACCTGTGGTAGTGTGTGTGAGTGTCTTGGGTTGAGATTCTGAACCAACATGTAGACAACAACCATGGGTTGAGGGTTAGTTCAAACTTCAAGAATTAGTGATTGATACATATTGTATAAGATACTAATTTGATTGTCTTGATAGACAAATTTGACATAAGATCCTCAATTGAGACTTCATTAAGAATTCACAAGAAAATGATTCATGATTAGAGAATATGATCATCGTAAGGGGTAGGATATGTGTCAATTTTTACTTGGGATAAACAAAATTTATCAACTAATTAAGTATCTTTATCTAATAATTTGAAGTATCAATAATTGGTTTAGAGTTTGTCATAACTCGAGAATCACGAATTGTTATATGTTGTATAATATAATAAATTTGAATGTCTTGGTTGATAAATCTTGATATGTTATCCTAAATGGGAAGTGATAAACCTTCACGATATGATTTTTTTATTAGAGAATAATAGCATTATAGGTGAGTATGCTAAGTATTTAGAATTTTTAATATGGGCATATCGCATACTCGCTTATAAAGTGAGAGTATAAAAATGTAGAAGATTCGAATAATTTAAACATATAGATAAATCAATTGATATAAAAGATAATGAAACTCTCCGGCCAACATGCCGGGTAAGAAACTAGTTGCCTCCTATATATATATATATATATATATAATCTTCATATTGCCACAAAATATCCCAAACTAGCAACACGGATCTTTTGGTATTTATTATTGGTCAACAGAAACAGATTGCTGAGACCTTATAGTCCATTAATTATCACCATAGTTAGCGCAGGATGTGTAGTAAATTGCTCATTCCTTCGAAGTTTCTTGTATGGACGCTCATTAAGCCTTACAAGTTGACCCCAAACAAACCAATACCAATACGGCAATACCACACACACACTACTCGTTTTCGATCTTAGGAACACAATATATAATCGCACTTGGCTGGAAAAAGATGCACTCCGAAAATGTTGACAAAAAAAAATCCCTTTTTTTCGAATTGAAAAATATGGCAAAGAGACAATGGAACTATTTGGCACTTTTGTTTCTGGGCAATGATGCACCCACCCAAATTTGTCTCACATAACGGCTTTTTCTTCTGCCTATGTGCAAACAGCGGAACCGCCATTTACCCTCCATTCTCCCGTTGGGCTTGTAATTTTGACTAATGGAACTAATACACGCACTAGCTGTAACGGGCAGCTTGATGACGACGTGTGTCGCCGTCAAGCCCAATAGGAGGAGCTAACGATCATTTTTAGTGTATTTTTGTTACTTTTATTAGTTATTAGCTGGAATTGAATTGAATTAAATTGGGGAGTACGATATATGAATAAAGTAACAAGAAGGTTGTGGCCGGGAAACGACGGTGGTGGGGGGAAGGGGAAGTCGGCCGGGGTAGGTGTGGCAGTGCAACGGTCCAATTGTCACGGAGGTGGAATTGCCATTGCCGTCGACCGGAGGCAAATTGGGTGGGCAAAAGGATCATTTACGACGCCAGGGACAGATGTCATGACCGCAACACCACCACCACTCTCCTCACGACCACAAACCTCCATGAAAGCCACTCGACGGTCGTGTCTCAGTCACCCCCCAGTAGTAGTAATTACTGTACCATGTGGGCCCCATTGGAGTAGTACCGTTCTGCCCCGAACCCGAACTTAGCTAACCGATACTCCGCTCGAATGGTTGAACAGTAAAACCCAACAACCGATTCAAACGAAAAAACCCGGCACAAGTCGATCCAGGCATTTGGTTGAATGGACTCTTTGAATGTGAAACGTGTACGTGATTGTTGAATGTTTGGGTTTCTGGAACGTTAAGAGCAAATCCAGACCGATCCACTACCGAAAAAACCAAGTTTTTAATATGTTCGATATAATCATGTTTTGTATGAGGCCGGAAATGGTTGCATGCATGTTAGTATTTGATGTTGTTTTGCTTTAATAGTGGGATTGGGATTTAGGGTTTAGTTTGATATGAACTTGCTACCGATTGCTATTAGAGAGGTGGGAGAGGGGGAAAATGAGCGTTATTTTTGGGATTCGACTCTAGAGGCTCCAGACTGAAAATCAACGACATGACCACTCGTGAATTGCTTCTAAGAATGTACATATACATCTATTATGTTAACATTAAATCACAACAGCCCACCGAAATATATAAAAAAATAAAAATAGAAAACTATAGTCAAAGACATCTCTATTCCTCCAACTCATCATTTTTATATGTTGGTCTTGATCAGGACATTGTCCTTTGTCAGGGACGACTGACTAACTAATAGAGCAATGTTTAGGGAGTTAGACCAAACCCCAAACCGAATCGATCTAACTCGCTCAATCAAAAGAGAGAAATCACCCAACCAAACCCAAACAAAGTAGCTAGCAAGTCACTAAAGTTGGAGTCTCTCTGATTGCATCAAAATATTATAACACTCACAAACTGACATTTAGCATAGAAAAGCTTTTGCCGCGACAATGAAGTGTTAAAGTAAAGTGCAACCAACCAACTACAGCAAATCAAAATTTTGTTAATAATTAATTAAAATCTAGTTGAGGACCGTGATTCATGTGATCATCTTTAAATACCCAAAAAAATTCACGACAAAAGTACATTTAGTTAATTAAATATTACCCATGTGCAATTGTTATGCTGCAAAAGTTTGCAATAATAACCAAAGAAAAGAGCTCTTAATCATACTTCCGGTGGAAGTAAAGACAATGATATTTTAGCTTTCTAGAGGTAGCCATTGATCCATCGATAATGAATCCTCTACAAACTTATATGTGGGATAACCTCAAAATAGCAACATTGACTATTGCCTCATTGCCGCATTAGGGAAATCATAGCCAGGAACAAGTAACCAATCCATCATTGGTAATATATATATGTCCGTGTAGGTAAATTAGACGAAACCTACCCGAATAATGTGTTCTCGCCCCTCGAATTTCAAATAATAATTCAACAAAATATATGCTTAAAATAAGCATAAAGTATTAAAGTGGGATTGAATAGTAATTAAAAATTATAGATATAACACAAAATGATTAATTTTTTAATTTGTTCCTTTATATTACCTTGATGATGAGAGGGTGAAAAATGAAACATCACACAAAATTATACCAAGTGCTTATTATTAGTAGGACCTTCACCCTTGGACGCGTGTACTAACTAACCAAACTCACCTTAATTATAGAAATCGTACTATAGTATGTACATAATATAACATATGTGTAGTAAAAACTGTAAATATATATCTCACAGTAAAAAGGGGAGGAAAAGAAAAGGCAGCCAATGGTTTTTTCTCTTTCAAATGTCAATTAGAAAGCTAAAAAGTCACAGTTCCAAAAACACCCGAATTTTCCGCAACTAATCCCAGTGCGGAAGCTCCCGCCGCCTCGCCGGAAATCACGGAACTATCCCACTCGAGCCCCGCCGGCGGGTAATAGCAGTACACGAACTCCTCCATCGCCGGCCACTCAAACGGAAAGCTCCCTTCTAAATTCGGCAGCTCCACAATCTCCCCCAATTCATCCTCCTCCTCCTCTTCTGCCTCCTCCTCCGTCGTCGTCGCCGCCTCCGTCACGGCAATGGTAGGAGGGGAATCCAGCTCGACCATCGCGGCGGCCTTGGCGGCGGCCTCCTGAATGTCCTGCGGCGACGAGGACGCCGGCCGGGGGAGGCAATCCGCGAGGTGAGGGAAATTGAGGATGGCAGAGTCGCCCTTGACGGTAATCGCCGCCACGTCGTGCGCACGCGCCGCCATCTCGGCTGTGGGGAAAGTCCCCAGCCAAATCCGCGACTTCTTCCTCGGCTGCCGTATCTCCGACACGTACTTCCCCCAGCTCCGCTTCCTCACACCTCTGTACTCCCGCGTGGGCGCCACGTCAGCGGAATTCGAACTCAGGGCGCGCTGGATGTTCTCATCATCGCTCCGCAGCTGCGCCGCCGACGACCGCTTAATACAGCTGCTATTGCAACAGTGACCGTGATCACTGACTGCTCTTTTTTTTCGACTTCCACTCTTCTGCGGCCGGGATGGTTCGACCGCGGATGGAGAGGTAGACGAAGAGGAAGAAGAAGAGGAGGAAGAAGCAGGGGAATGGTTGTTGCTATGAAGATTGGTGGTGGTAGTAGAGCTGCTGCTGCTGCTGCTATCTTCCGCCATTGTTATGGTTGAAAACAGAGAAGCAGAGAGAGAGAGAGAGGGGAACAGAGTAATGATGAGGGCAGAGGAGGGGGGTTTTGTATATGTAGAGAGAGAGGAGAGGTGGGAAAGACGCTCCTTCCACAGTGACCTTCAACCTACCGTTATAAATTTCGGCAATCACATCTCTCTCTTTGTGTATTGGGACTGACTAGGCTTCATCACGAGTTGACATTACTACGCTGCCCTGCCTCTCTCTCACAAGATTGATTTCTCTGTTTTCATTTTTCCTAATTTGTGGGTATTCACATATATATAATTACTGTAATTTAGTGGGGGTGATTAGGGTTACCCTTGGATCGAGGATGATATGGAGGGTTTTTCGTTTTTGGATGTATCCAACCGCTATGGTTACTATTAAAAGCATGGTGGGGGTTTCCAATTATATAACCCAAGGGATAGAGAAGTGGCACCGGTTGGTTCTATATACCTATTAGGCTATTACTAGGAGTTAAAAGAGAGATGAAAAATCTCTTAAAGAGTGGGACTAGGATGGTTTGCTCCCCTTCACCACGACCTTATTCATCTCAGGGTAATAGCAGCTATTGGCTAGTATTATCCTCCTATCCATTTAGTCTGTACTTGTACCTAACCTGTTCACAATGAAACCTCCTATTTGCTAACTAGAGAGTTTTAGAAAGAAATGAAAGGCAAGACTGGATTAAACCGAGAAAGGGTGATTCTGGAGATTTTGTGTAGAAGCGTTTTAGTGACCTGGAAACGTAAAATCATAAGTTTTTAAGTTTTGAAGCGCGATTTTGACTATATTGCAGTCTCAGTTGCTAGGCCAAGGAAAGCATTATAGGCTACAATTGTAGCCCTCTTGGCTCAAGCAATTGAGGGTTGACTTACCTTCTCCCTCAAACCAAGGTTTGGGATGGGATAATCACAATTAACCTAGATGTCTAATTCAAGTTTAGAGATTTTCCCTTCAATAACCTAGTTAGGAGGCATGGAATGCCTAACAAAAGCCACCTCAATTTGAGCCTCTTAAGATAAGGGAGCTTCTTTCGAAGCTAGGTTAGAATAGCACAATAGATTGCCAAGCACACACAATGCACAATCACCATGAAAAATACCTCAAATTCTTAAAGTAAACACCACAATCATTCAATCCACACAATCAATTACATGGTAAAAGTTAGGTATCTACAACACCCAAGTGAAAAGGGAATCTACCCCATGGTAGACAAAGGAAGAACACAAAGGAAGAAGAAAGAAACCATCATTGTGATGCCTCCAACTCTCCTTGTGCTTGTAAAGATCCTCTTTTGAAGAGCAACTTCCAAAATCTTCACTTGGAGCAAACCCTAGCCTCTTCTCCCTCTTGGTTCGTGCTTTCTTTCAATAAGAAGAGGTTTCTCTCACTTTGCACTCTCCCTTATTCTTCCTTTCAGCTCTCAATTTATACACAGATCGCGCCCAGTTCAGTGCCCCCAGTTCACGGCCATGAACATCAGGCCGGGACCGTGAACACAAATCAAAACGCACTTATGGAGTTCACGGTCCATGGCTCCAGTTCACGATCTTACGACCGTGAACTGGCCCAGGGTCAATAACCTCTGAAACTCCTCTGGGCGCTCTGTGGTTCACAGTTTGTGGTTCCCGTTCATGGTCCTGGCGACTGTGAACTCCAAGCTCTGATCGTGAACTGCGGCTGGATCCTCCTCTTTGCCCAGTCTTTGCGCCTTTTATTCCAACTTTCAACTCCGGGGTTGGTTTCACCTGTTGGGCTCTGAAACACAAGAAACCTAGTGTAAAACCACCCAATTAGGAGCTCAAATGCCACAAACGCCAAAGAAAAACGGGGATAAAAAGTGTACAATTAGACCCGAATCATGATGTTATCAAATTCATCTAGTTTACTTGCACGTAACCAATTTACTATTAACTTCCTATTTGCTAGCTAGTATTTTTAAAACAAATGAAAGGCATGACAAGATTAAACCAGAAAAGGTGAATCTTGTAGAATGAATCAATCAGTCCAAACAGCATAAAGTCAAGTGGATTAGACTCCCATACAAATGTTCTTCCATTATACTACTTGCGGTTAGCCTATTGATGCAATCATAGCAGTATCTACAATATGAGGGTAAGGTTTGGGAGACACGATAGTATTTAAGGATCAATTCGTAGTCTTTAGCTATTTAATCTCTAATTGGATGCTGCTTAGTATTGATCAGCGCACCCACCTTTTAGCATTCTCATCTTCTTGATAGAAAACTTGGTGGTGAATAAAAGGGTGAATTGAACGAAGGTGGAGAAGATCCCTTCCTCGAAATAGGTGCCCCAATTTCTCGAAATAGGTGTCCCAATTTCGACATCTCACAAAGAAACAGGACCAACGCCTTATACCCTGTTTACTTCCCATTTCGTTTTCTGTTTTCTATTTAAAAAATAAAAATCAAGAAACAAATGACAAAAAACGTGTTCACTTGTTCATTTTGTTTTCTTTGGAAAAAATCAATTCTAACAAATGAGAAACCTGTGAGTAAACAATAAATATATGTTTTCTGGAATTATGGGGACGGGTTATCCCCCGTTTCCTAGCGGAAAAACGTCACTATTCCTAAATGAGATACCGGGTTCGAATCACCAAAACCCATCGTTTTGCCCCATTCACCCACCCTAACCCTAGAAACCTGTCGTTGCTCGGCCATCTCCATCTCCTCTTCCCCTTTCAGCCCCGCCACCTCCTCTCCACCCAGACCACTATCACCCCATCATCTCTCTCTCCCTCGCCAGCGCCGCCGTCATCCTTTCTCCCTCGCTAGCCCCGCGGTCGAGATCTATCACCTCTCCCTCGCTAGCCCCACGCCGCCGTCATCTGTCCAGACCACCGCCCCATCAACTTCCTCTCATCCTCGCGACGTCCTCATCTTTTCTTCCTCACACATCTTTCTCCTCCTGCTAGCGACCCAGTCCAGGTAGAAGCAGGCAAGCAGCACCGAAGGAGCTTTCCTATCCTCGATTCCTCCTCCAACAGAGAAGCACCAGCCGCACATCTTCCTCCTGCTATCGACCCAGCAGGTAATTATTCTTCCTGCCAGCAACTCAATCCATGCTTGCTTGTGATGGTGAATTGGACCGATTTGTAGGATGATTTAGGATAATTGTGGTCATGTTTTCCTTATGCTGCGAGTTTGAATGAAAATAGACAATTTTGGCAGACCAAGATCTGTCATATTTGTGTTAATTTGTGGCATATTCCTGACCATTTGGGAGAAATAATAACAATGTGCAGAATCTATTGTAGGCTTTCTTTGAGTCTGATGTTTTGTTTGTAGAATCTATTGTAGTATTTTGTTGAGTTTGATGTTTTGCTTGGTGGTGATCTTTTATCTCGTATTGAATTGTAGTGTGATAAGCAATGGCTGATAAGAAAATTATTGCACGGGGGAGAATGCCAATAGAGTGCAAAGAGGACAAGAAAGAGAAGCATATAATTATAGTTCAAGCCAAACTTGAGCAGTGAATGTACGACGGGATGGAATAGCAAACAAGTTGTGAGATGACTTTCGAGCTGGACTTATTTGAAATTTGATGTTGTACTAGTACTTAATTAATATAAGATGTTGTACTTGTATTGTGTTTATTTGTAGTTTAAATACTTTTTAATTCGAATTAAAAATTATAATAACGGCTAGGATTGTATGATACTCATTAACAAAATTGTGGTAATCAATAACCAGAAAACAGTATGAAGTAACTAAACAGGTTTTTATTTTCAGAATTCAGTTTCAGACCTCACAAAACTTCCGAGCTAAACAAGTTTTTTTTCCAGGTTTTGATTCTCAGAAAACGACAATTTTGTTTTCATTTTAATTTTGTTTTCTGTTGTGGCAGCTAACAGAAATGGAATGGCAACTAAACGGCCCATTACAAAGAGCCATTTGAGAGGCATTGAGAAGTTGTATCCTTAAACTAAATCCGAGCCAGAGATATACACGATTTATACTTAAGAAAGTTAATTCCCTTTCTAGGTACCAAGGTTTATTGAACATTTCCTCTTAGGATAGAATAGATTACCTTTCCAGTGTATTGAATATACTACAAAATTCGAAACCCTCACGAATGCAACAAACAATGAGTATCACACGACTTTGGTTTCCTTTATATGTTTTAAAGAGAGAAGAATGAAAGATATATGCAAAGGTTCATGAGTGTCGAGAGAACTAACATTCTTTTGTTCTTCTTAAGGGAATCTACTTCACACTCACACATGTGGACTTCTAAACGTGCATCAATAGACTTATACTATTTGAGAATTCCAACTCCAAACTTAAAAACCATTAAACCTTTCATTTTATGTCTATGCTAATTTATGAACATTGTCTCATAATGAGAATGGACTTCGCAAAAATTGACAATGTTGGACCATCATTAACAACTTTGTTTTGTCCTTGAATCTAGAGTTTGGGTCTGCTAATAATACCAGGTAAAGTTATTGTCACGATGATTCGTCCAGGTCATAGCCACATTCCCTGATGACTTCTCGACTAACTCTCTAGCACGGGCTCTGGTTAGTGTATCAGAAACATTAACTCTTGAGATTATGTAATAAAATGATATAATTTCAATAGAGATTAGTTGTCTCACAGTGTTATGTCATCATCGTATGTGACGTGACTTTCCATTGTACATAACACCTCTAGCCCTTCCAATATTTGTTTGACTATCACAATGTATGCTTACCGGGGTTAACAGTTTATGCCAAAATTGAATATATTCCAAGAAACCTTGAAGTCATTCGGCTTCCTACCCAACCAAGTCCAAAGCTATGATCCTAATTTCATTGTAGAGCGATCGATACAAGTTTGCTTGGATGATTTCCAAGACACCGCCCTCCCATGAACTGTAAACACATATCCACTTGTGGATTTGCTTTTGGTAGAGCTGGTGATCCAAGTTGCATCACTATATCCTTTAAGCACAATAGGGTATGATTTATAATGCAAGACAAAATTCTTGATATGTTACAAATACCCCAAAACACGCCTCATAGCCATCCAATACATGTTGTTTGGATTATGCTGATATCGACTTAATTTATTTATTGCACACACAGTATCTGGTCGAGTAAAATTCATGATGTTCTTTGCCAGATCAAGGTGTAAGTGAATAGTTGCCTTCGCCTTCTTTGAAATTCAAATATTTGAATTTATGAAGTATTTTCTCAATATAGTGAGATTGTGACAATGCTAGACCTTGAGGCGTTTAATGAATTTTAATACAAAAATATAATCAACATCCCTCGAACCTTTCATGTTAGAATATTGGTATAACATTTGCTTCGTAGATTCCAATTGCAATGTTGTTTTTATTGATTTTTAACATGTTGTCTACATACATACAAGCAATGGCCTCGTGATCATAAGTGCTTTTTTTATGAAGAAACAATATTACACTCATTAATTATAAATTCATTTGACAACATTATTGCATTAAATTTAGCATGCCAGTGCTTAGGAGCTTCTTTAAGTCAATATAGCGACTTAACCAATTTACATATATTATGTTCTTGTTTGGGTATAGCGAACCCTTCAGTTTCCTTGATGCAGATTTCTTCCTCCGGATCTACATTTAGAGAGGTAGTTTTCACATCTATTTGGTGGCAAGCTAATCAAAATCATTAGCATCTCAATATATGTAATTCTTGTGATGAGTGCATATGTGTCAAACTAGTGAAGACCTTCCTTTTGTATAAAATCCTAGACCACAAGTTTTGTCCTACTTGTTAATAGTACCATTGTCTTTCGAATTCCATTTGAAAATCCATTTATAACCCAACACTTTAATACTGGGAGGAAGATCCACCCATTCTCATATGTGGTTATTCAAAATGGATGTAACTTCGTGTTGAGGGAAGGACTATAAATAGAACGTGGATAGCACCGCACCACGCTTAGCCACCCAATCGCACGGTCTCTAATGCGGTAAGACAAACCGCCCAGGCGTTCGAGCGATTTCCACCATGAGAAAACAAGCCGCCCAGGCGACAGATGCACAAATATCGGCAGAGGGGCCCGCGTATATGCTCTGACACTCCCGCCTTGTCACCACAATTTGCTCACCAACCCAAGGGAGCTATAACTAGAGCATTTACTACACTTGGAATGGTGATCAAATTTTAGACCACTCTCTCTCTACAACACTAAAACTGTCTTCAATGGAAATGCTCTCAATTCTCTCTTCTTTAATTCTCTTGTTAGATCATTCTCCTTCCTTAACGAATAAATGGTAATTTCCCTCACTCTCTACGTGTAAGCCTCCTACCACATTAGCCTTGCACAAACAATTGGCGCCCACCGTGGGGCAAATGACGAAAGATTCTATGAGGAAGGGGTGATAATCCACACTTTCAAGCTCCATAGAAGAGGAGACAACACCACTCAAAGAAACCATGAGCCAAAGCCTCTATGACGCGTCAACAAACCCGGAAGCAACATGGCTATTTCACTTGGATGACAACCCAGACGTCGTGATAATTAAGGAAGAGGAGGTCGAGTTATCTGCGAAAGAAATCCACCAGCAGATGGAGCAAAAAAACAAGGTCATCGCCGACATGCAAAGAAAGATGAGCCAGATGATAGCGCTCATGAGCGCTTCAGTGAGCGTAGCACGAGCAATGCAGAGACAAGACCCGGTTCCAACAAAGGACCCCGAAGCGGAGGCCACGCCCCCACCCGTACGAGCAGCTCGAGTAGCGCGGCGAGATCTGGATTACCTATAGAAACACTTATCGCCCGCCTATAGAGCCCCTCCAAAAATCTTCCTTCACCAACCGCTATGTGCGGCGATCATGGGCGAGCCAATGATGGGGATCCCCCAACGCAACCTACCTACAACGGCACAACTGACTCGGAAGACCATGGTAGTGAGTTCTGCCTACGCATGCAACTTTAGACGTGCTCTAATGCAGCCCTATGCCGCACCTTCCCATCCACATTCGCAGGTGTTTGTCTTGACTGGCAAAAATATTCGTAACCGTGGATATCCGCCCGAATCCGGCCTAATCATGTAGGGCAAAACCCGAACCCGAAGGACATTTAGTGGGTACGGGTAAAATCTGAACCCGAATATTGCGGGTAATGGGTGGGCATGGGTTTCTCACTATCCAACCCGAAACCGCCCGATTATACACATGCATATGTATTTTGTCTAGAAATAATCAATATTTTTTGCTAACATATTTTATATTTAGCATATAAATATAATATTTTCATGAAATTGTGTAGTTTAAATTAATTTTCTTCATTCTAGTGAATTATTGGCGTACTTTTCCTCTTACGTAATTTGAGAATACGTATGAATGTTAACGTATTGGTTGAAGTTATGAAGAGAAATTATTATCCATGGATAACCGTGGATACCCGAAACCCGAACGGGCATGGGCATGGTTTTGATCTTCTACTCGTTTCACATGTGGGTATGGGTATAGGTAAAACCCGAAATACTATGGGTAGGGTAACGTAATCTTCCAGACGTTTGAGAAGTTTATCCTCCTTTTTACAACCAAGTTTGCTCCCAAAAGCGGAGACCGCTGCACATAGTGGCACTCGTAGACATCAGACAAAAAGAAAATGAGAGCCTCAGAGTATTCTACTCTAGGTGGTCTCGCGTTGCCATGGTGGTCCGATTTCTTACCCCTGAAACCGCCGCACGCCACCTCATAGATTCCACAAACAACACTAAGCTAAGGCGGTCACTGGCGATACGTTGGTGCTGTCCTCCTTCGAGCTGGAAGCCAAGGTGGATAAGGCGATCGCGCTGGAAAAACATTGGGAGCAAGTTCTATCCATAAATTTGTGGCCAAGAGTACGAGGAATGAACAAATGCAACACCAACCCCCACTCCCGATGGACGCGTATCATAGCGTAGTTGGGAAGCCCCACATGGACCTTCACGCCGCTGAACGAAACGGTGCGGAACATATTCCACGTCGTTAGGGATGGTGAACAAGATCCAATCCGGTGGATTTTATGCTATTCAACCTGTAATGGGGCGGATAAAATCCGACCCGCGCTTGGACGGAGTGGATCTTGATCCGACCCGCTGTTAGAACAGAGCGGACATGGATTATGCATTTTGCTCCGCCCTGCTCTGCTCCGGTCCGCTCCACTCCGATCCGTTGTCTAATGCCATGCGAAGCTAAGGAGAGAGACAGGCAGCAACTAGCTATCCATTTCCCAAAGAGACCCAAATTCCCAGACCCTACATGTCATCCCTTGACCCTTATGCCTTTATCAAAATCATTCCTCCTCTCCCAATTTCCAATGCCCGTTAAAATTTTCCAGTTCCCAGACCCCATCCCAATTAAATATCTCCAATTAATTCCATCACCCCAACCAATAAAAGCCTTCTTTGCAAACACAATCCTTGACTATTATATTATCTCGTCATCGCCATCATCTACGCTCACCGGCCGTCGTCATCACCATGAGGAAATCGCCACCGTAGCCTTCGTCGTCAACTTCTGGTCATCCTCGTCGCTTGGCCTTCCTCATATCCATCTTGTTGTCGATCTCTTAGCTGTCCCAGTCGGTTCTTCGCAGGTAAGAGTCTATGATCCTCCCGTCTAATTTCTAAGGATGGATCAAGGCGGATTTTATCCGCCCCGCGCAGGATAATATTTGGGGCAAAAATTGGCGACCCGTCGTGGAGCGCGGGCCAGATCGAATCAAGAATTCAATGACAGAGCAGGGCGCGGATTTAGCACTATCCGCCCTATTCATTCCCTAATGACATTCCTACACGTCGTTAGAGAGAAAGGATACCGCATAAACTAGCCAGTCCCCCATTGTAAACCAGAGAACAGGCGTGACCATCGCAAATACTACGAATTCCACTGTGAGACTTGTCACCTCACTGAAATAACTCAAGGCGGAAATTGAGTGACTCATAGGGCGAGGGTACCTTGTCGAGTTCATGCAGTTAACCGATAGTGCACCCATGCAAAAGCCGCCACTACCCCCACAAACAGGGTACAACAAGAAAACTGGGGAGATTGTAGTACGGAAGGAAATTGGGGTAGTTTTGTTGAAGGAATCAGGCCATGCAAAAAATTGAAAAGGCAAAGGGCGATCGAGTGAGCCACGACAGCTACAACACCATCGATGACTCTCTATTTTGGCAACGATGAGTACCCCAAGGGAGGACCGTCTGAAGACCCTTTGCTTATTACCGCCTTAATCGCGGCGTGCAAGGTACACCGCTTGCTCATAGACTAGGGGGGAGTGTCGCAGATAACCTGTTCAAGAAGACCCTCGACCTTATGAATATTGATCAACGGATGATACTTCAAGCGGAAGGAAATTTACTAGGCTTCTCGGGATCCCGAGTCCTGGTGATTGGCTCCATCACTCTCCCTGTCATTTTAGGCGACCAATCACCCCGCGCAACAGAGCAAATTGAATTCACCATAGTGGATTGCAAATCCCCGCACAATGCAATCTTGGGAAAATGCGATACTACCTAGAAGCGCGTTGGTGACCTAGAAGCATAAAATCGTAAGCTTTTAAGCTTCAAATCGTAGATTTTGACTACACTTGTAAGGGAAAAGCACGATTCTATGCAGAAGCATTTTGGTGGTCTAAAAAGGTAGAAACGTAAGCTTTTAAGTTTTAAAGCGCGATTTTGACTGCATTACTTGAGACGGACATTCCTTGCTAAGTTTAGGGCGTTGCCGTCCACTTGCCACCAGCTCATCAAACTCCCAACCGCCAAAGGAACGAGCTTTGCGAGAGGCGAACACCGAGAACCCATAACCCAAAGAAGAACCAAAATAGTGGACACATGGGTAGAGGAGGAACCGCAACCAGAGACATCAGAATACCCTTGGATCCCACCCTGCTTGACCAACAAATCCGCATATCAACCCATGTCCCTGATGACATGATGCAGCTAGGGCTAGTAAACGGCCGGTAACCGATGTAACCGGTTACTATTTGATCGGTTATCGGTATATCTAAAATCCATATAATGGTGCTGTTTGGCGATACCAAATAAATTTTGGTAAACCGCTTACCGTATGCGACGATATCATTTTTGTCACGGGTAACCGTTTTACCACAACACTGCGGAATTCAATGCTGATAGTTGTGCTGCAGAAATCAATCAGTACCGCAAAGTGGAAGAAAGCAATGTGGCGCAGTGGGGATTTTGGCTTATTGATCTTGGGAACTTCCAAACTTAAGAGTTTTACTGTATGTAAAACAAAAATTATAAAAATATAAATTGAAATAGCTAATTGATCTGTGGGGTTTGTCAGTTTATTGTGTCATTTTGTTTCTCTAGTGTTTTTCAGCTATGCCTCTGCTCGACTGCTCCTCGTCAGTGGGCGATGGGTCGAATATGCTGTCGTCGAGATGTGTCCGGCGACGATGGGGCCTAGCGCGTTGGGTCGACGGATAGAACAAGGGGCTTGGGTCGATGGAGAGGACACGGTACTGGGCTGCAACCGTCAGTGGCTCGTGGGTTGCCGGCGATGGAGAGGAGAGGATAGAGGACGGGTTGCTCGAAATTCGAAATTCCAATCCGACGGTGTGACGTAAGGGTAGGGCAGGCAGAGGGGAGAGAGCACGGAGTAGTTACTAATTAACTAGGGTTGGGGTTGGGGTGGCCAAAGGATTGAGGGATTACTCATAATCGGATTCAGAATTGGATTTAGCCATTTTAGATAGTCCCCTACAATTCGGTATCCGATAATTGGGAAACCGTCGGTTATATACCGATTAATTTTTGGTATAGCACTGGCCCCTAAACAACATTCGATAACCGTTGCTTTCAGTTAACGGTTTAACCGATAACTGCATTTATCGGTACGGTTATCCGTTAAACCGATAACCGGCAAACCAAATCCCAGCCCTAGATGCAGCCACTCATACAATTGTTGGTGGAATACAAGGAGCTCTTTGCTCCGGAGCACAAAAGACATGCATGGAGTTCAAAGGGAAATCGTGGAGCACAAACTCGCGGTACGTAGAAGCGCAGAACCCATACAGGAGGGTCGAGACACTTTTACCAGGGAGAAGCGGGGAATTTCCTCGACTACATGATCACTACTCGAGGAATCGAAGTCAATCCTAAGCAGATGGACGCCATCTGCCAGCTAAAGTCTCCTCACAATGCACAAGAAGTTCAATCGTTGGCAGGAAAGATGGCCGCACTAGGAAGGTTTATCCCTAGATCCGTTGATAGGTGTGTGCCTTTCTTTCATATTCTCAATGCAGGAACAAAGTTCAAATGGGACGACGCTTGTGAAAAGGCTTTTGTAGAGCTCAAAATGTATCTTGTATCCACGCCTGTGTTGGTAGCCCCAGAGGCGAATGAAATGTTATATGTTTATCTAGCGGTGTCAGCTCGTGCAGTAAGTGAAATACTTATCTCCAGGGCGAAAGGAAGTGATGAAAGGGTGGTGTAGTATACGTCGCACACACTAACAAGTCCAGAGGCGCGGTACTCCCCGATTGAGAAGGCAGCCCTCACATTAGTATCAACGTCTCAGAAATTGCGCACATATTTCCAAACACACCCAATCACTGTCCTCACCATTCTACCCATCAGAAAAATCCTAAGTTCAATGGAAGTATTGGGCGTCTAGTAAAATGTGCGGTGGAACTATCCGAGTATGACATCGAATATGTGCCACGCCCAGCAATAAAAGGACAAGTCTTGGCAAATTTCATACCAGAGGGTGTTGTCCTCATAACCGTGCCGGAAGGAACATGGAAAGTCCAAGTAGACGACGCCACCAACAAACACGGCGCGGGAGCAGGAGTGATGATTTGCACTCCCCTAGAACGGTACATGAAATAGTTGTACGGTTCTGTGCACTAAAAATGAAAATGGGGACAAGTACAAAATCGTTCTAGCCGGGCTACACGCAGCTGATGATCTCGCGGCAAAAGTAATAAGGTTGGCATCTTTGACGTCAAAGAGGAGGCTCTCACGCAATACATAATACAGATACAAGAAGCTGCCGCCAAATTTCAGGCCATCACATATGTCCACATTCTGCGAGAAGAAAACATTCACACGGATTCCCTGTCGAAAATGGCCACAACCACGGATTTTGAGGATACCAGAATGGTATCTGGGCAAAAAGAAGGATACATCACGAACGCCAAATCAACAGCGGTCAATACCAAGTAAAATACAAATGAGGAATGGCGTGTTCCAATACTTGAATACCTCAACGCATGAATGGTTTCAGAAGATCCCAGGGAGGCGTGGGAGCTTCTCAAAAGGGTGGCTAGATGCACGGTCAATGGTCAAGAGTTGTATAGACATTCACACGTGGGAGCGTACTTAACGTGCTTGGTTGCTGATGAGGCCAAGCGAGCCATACGCGAAATCCACGAGGAAATTTGTGCAATGCACCACGAGGCGATGAGTTTATAAAGCTCCATCTTGATGAGTGGATACTACTGGCCACGGATAAAGAAGGACGCCAAAGGATACGCCGAGCAATGCCGTAAATGTCAAGTGCACTCCCGCCAACACCATTTACCATCCCCGGATCTACAAGAAAATATAAGTCCCTAGCCGTTCGCTCAATGGGGCGTGGATCTACTTGGCTCGTTTCCAATGGAAAAGGGAAAGCGAAAGTATCTGATCGTGGTAGTGGAATACTTTACAAAATTGATTGAGGCGGAACCCTTGGCTTCAATCAAAGCACAGCAGGTCACCCGATTCTTGACGCAGAATGTCCTATCCAGGTTTGGCATAACACAATCGCTAGTCTTCGATCACAGAACTCAGTTTGATTGCGCAGAATTCATTTATCTATGCGACCTAATAGGCACAATCACCAGATTTGCGTCCATCTCATATCGTGAAGCTAACGGCCAAGCCGAAGCCTCCAATAAAGCGATACTGCACTAGTTTCATACCCGCTTAGATGAAGCGAAGGGCAATTGGCCAGACGAACTCCACAGCTTCCTGTGGGCGCATCGCACGACGTACAAAATCGCAATAGGGGATACCCCGTTTGCGCTCACATACGATACCAAAGCAGCCATCGCCATTGAGACAAACATATTCCCCGCCATTAGGGTTCAACTATACAATGAGGAAGACAACATCGAGATGCGCCGGATAGACCTTGACCTAGTCACGAAGCGTCGAGAGTTGGCTGCCATTCTCCTCGCAGCGGAGAAGGCGCAAGTTGCCAAGTATCATAACGGGAAGCTTCGACCGCACAATCTCAAACACGAGCCACCAAGTGCTACGGCGGAACTTTCAACCTGACAACAAAACACGGGAAGTTCGCCGCGTCATGAGAAGGCCCTTACTGAATAAGGGAAGTGGTGGGCGCGAGCACATTCAATCTGTCAGAGTTAAGCGGAATGAAAATACCTAGAACATGGAACGCGCAAAACTTTTGTTTGTATGAACCTGCTCAAGCACTGTAATATCTCAAGCATGAATGTCAAATTCGCAACTTTATTCGCCTATACACGAGTACAGAATTTGCCTCTCTATTATACATATTAACGCTCATTAATATCTGAATATATGTAATTCTTGTAATGAGTGCATATATGTCAAACTAGTGAAGACCTTCCTTTTGTATAAAATTCTAGACCACAAGTTTTGTCCTACTTGTTAATAGCACCATTGTCTTTCGAATTCCATTTGAAAATCCATTTATAACCCAACACTTTATTACTGGGAGGAAGATCCACCCATTCCCATATGTGGTTATTCAAAAGGGATGTAACTAGGCTATTGACATCTTATTTCCAACATTGAGCTTCTTCAATTTTTTGGGACTCTATTTCTAACAAAAATGTTAGGAAATCGGTAACAAATGACATAGGAATCTTTTGACATTTACTACGTCGAGGCTCATCAATATGGACTCACTTTTAGATTCAATTTCTCGAGGTCTCTTGGAGTTTTCTCCTACGGATACATCTTTATTCTTATATTTGAATTGTTTACATCTTACTGTATTGTGCAAGGAGTACAAGTGTACAACATTCATCATATCCTTGAAAATGTAATTTTTCTTTCCACAACCCCCTTGTTGTGGGATATATGGAGCAAAAGTTTGATGAATAATTTCATTTTTTATAAAATATTTCTTCAAATGAAAATTCATCTTCACCACCTCGATCACTTCTAACTACTTTGATTATCCTTTGAGTTGATTCTTAACTCCGGCTTTATATTGTATGAATGCATCAATTTGCTATTAAGCAATTAGACATAGAAATATTGAGTGTTATCGTCAATAAAGGCTATGAAGTACTTTTTGCCACCACGAGAGGGATTCGACTTCATATAATAAATGTTAGTGTGAATCAAGTTTAAGGGTTCAAAATTCCTTTTGGCGGAATTATAGGGATGCTTTATAAATTTTGGTTCCACACATACTTGACATTTTGATTTATTGTGCAAGGATTTATTTGCCACCATAGTGGGGATTCAACTTCATATAATATCTCAAGTAAATGCGCTGAAGATCTTGCTTTATTATTATTAGCATTATTCATGGTAATTACGTTGATCTTAAAAAGCCATCACTGAGATAACGTTTTTTTCCACATATACATTGTTTGTACCAATTACAATCTTGTCTGAAACAAACACAACTTTGAAACCATGCTTGACCAAAAGTGAGGTGGACACAAAATTCCTGTAAATTTCAAGTAAATTAAGAGCATAGTTGAGTGTTACCACCTTGCATGATGTCATCTTTAAGTCACTCTTTCCACATCCCTCAACTTTGGCGATTGAAGAGGTCCCCATGAACTATTTATCTTCTGGTTTAACCACATCATAGGAGTAAAAAATCTCATTGACAACTCATATATAGCAGGTAACACCATAGTCTATCCACCACTATTAGGGGTTTCCAACCAAGTTACATTATGAGAGAACAACGCACAAGTCGTCCAAAACCATATCATCATTGTTCTCTACCACATTAGTTTGACCCTTGTTCTTGTTCTTATTTTTGGGAGCATGGAAAGCATAAGCTTTGTGTCCAGGCTTACAATAATTGTAACAAACACTTTTGCAACTTTTGTTGCCTTTTTTTTTTTTTTGCGTTAGAGAACCTTGTGTATCCTCTTTCTTTTCTTTCCAAATCCATCTCCATAATGTTTGCTTCAGCTATCTTTGATTGTCCATGACTCTTGTTTTCAACCAACCTATTGCCCTCTTCAATTGTCAAACAAGCAATGAGGTTTAGGTAACTCTTGGCATTCTTCCACACGGGAGGCAGCTTCTCTATGAAGACAACAACTTGGAAAGCTACGTTATAAATCAATACTTCATTGAGAAGATCATGAGTTATTACTTGAATCACAACGACCTTGGATCAAACATCTTGTACTCCAAAATATTGGCAGCAATGGGGTTCTTCAATCCAATATTTTCACTTTTCAGCCTTGTACTTCTTCTCCAATGCCCCCCCACAATTCCTTCGAGGTGATCATGGTACCATAGACATTGTACATAATGTTGTAAATATCATTAAGGATATAGTTCTCACAATGAAAGGCGAAATGTTTCCAACCTTCTATTGCAAGAAGTATATCATTCTCACATCAGCATTTAGGATTTCTTCCTTGATGAACTTTTAGTCCCAACGTGGGGTGAGATATAAGTACATCTTTTGTTGCTACCTTATGAAGTCCACACTAGAGAACTTGTCGGGTTGTTTTACTGGTGCCAATGTGTCTATTGCAACGTGGAGCAGATCACTTTGGTTTGGTGTAACTTGGCTAGGAGTAGCCACATCTTTCTCAAGAGCGAAATCCATTTTTTTTTTCTTGGAAAGCAAACCAACAACTTATTTAGTACTCATACAAAAAAAAAACAACTTATTAGTATTTTACTAATAAACACTAGTGAACAAACCACAAAAGTTTTTAACTCGAACAAAATATAAAACCACAAAAGTTTAAATCTCGATGGAGCATAAATTCCAAACAAAATTAATTTCCAAACTCATTAGTACGATCATAATCTAAATAAAATAGGTTGCAATTATACATGCAAAAGTAAACAGATTGCAATTACGTTGCAATTTCAAACTCAGAACAAAGATAATGCATATATATTTATGGATGATTATGTCATAGTCCCGACAAAATTTGGAGTATGTCGTACACCAGGAAATCTCTAATGTATGTTTCGTCTTAACGATTAGCATAATTGCATGTTATTTTTTGTTAATCAAGTTATGTGTTGGGAAAAAGATCTTCCTTTCCACCAAGGTAAAATAAAATAAATTATTACTTTCCATATTTGTGAATATGTGATTACATGAAAGAATCTCCCATGTCAAAGGAAGATCAAGAAGAGACAGTTGCACGAAGAGGAAGTATAACATGAGAGAAGCAACAAGACAAGATTAACAAAGTATGGCAGTGCAATCCTACACAATGCAAGATCAAACACTCTATGATTACAAATAGGTGTAAGAAGTTATAGGTTTTCAATGTCTATATTGTTTGTGTGCTTGTGAGGTTGTGTAGTTTTTCTCTTCAGCATAAGTGCGTGTGAGGAAGAGAGAAAGGGGTATATTGTTCTATTCCTCTCAAGGGTTTGAGTTCCACCTAAAGAGACTCAACTTGGAGTCATAATGGAATAAGATAAAAAAAAACATAGGCACTAAGTCTCAAAGGGTGAGCTACCTTTGAGTCAAGAAGGAAGCAATAACCTGAACTCGATTAACAAAAAAATCATGTGTACGTGTTCTTCTCCTTGCTCTTTATTATCTTGTGATTGATCCTTAATAGTTACATGACCTTGCTAGTATCAGGTGGAAGAAGATCGGTGAAAAGGCCAAAGCCTATCTAAATAGCCTATTGGGTCTAAGCAACAGGTCAAACCTAATGCACAAGTCACACGATCAATCACTAAGAATACAAATCTCATTTATCTATTATTTGTGTGCAACAAGTGTCTTATA